TCATCTATCCCAATATACTGCCAACTCAAGTCCTCTATCATCTGTCTGAAGCACCTGCAAGTATGAGCACTGGACTTTGCATGACCCTGGACAACTAAATAAATAAATGATCAACACCAAGTCAGTGATAAAGAGCTCAGTCTGACATACTTCCTTGGGAGACCCTGAATTAAATATGTTTTATCAGCTATTCTACACAGTGTGATTAATTGGCTCCAGTCCCATGATTACTGGACAATTCCCCCAAAGCCACTCATGAGACACAGGGCCACCTCTAGGTAGACCTGGGAATTGGCTACTCTCAAAAATTCCTGTTTACTCTCCAAGACAGGTAAGCACTCAGCTCTCTTCTTGTTGACATAAAGGAAGGGAAGCTGGGGTGGAAGAGCACAACTGGAATCCCAATGACTCAGGAGGCTGAGGCAGGAGGATCGAAAGTTTGAAGCCAGCCTCAGCAACTTAGTGAGACCCTATCTCAAAATAAAAAATAAAAAGGACTGGGAAGGTAGCTCAGTAGTGAAGCACCCCCAGATACAATCCCCAGTGCTGGAAAAATAAAATAAACTCAAGGAAGACAATGATCCATTCTCGTTTTTAAGAGAAGTACCCGCAACTCTGAAGTATGCAGCACCGAGAAGGTCAGGATGGCTGGTGGGGAAGCGGGGCACAGCCAGCCCTGGCTCAGTGTGGAGTCACACAAGCACACAGAATGGAGCCTTGTGGTGCCACAGACAGAAGTGCCACAGACAGAGGAAACTGGAAGCCTCCAGACCCCAAGCCACCGACCCCACCAACAAGCTGCCAAGAGAAGCAAAGCAAGAAAATCCAAGTGGAGGCGACTTATTTCATCAGCATCCAGTTGGTTAAAAATAACTTCACTTATTAGTTTAAGTGAGATCACCACAGGGCTGGAAATTCACTGTCAGTGAAACAAAAATACTGAAAGGAAAATGAGAGACGTCTATGTTGGTGATGAACTTTATTTCAATCAAGAAGCACGGGAGCAGGGGCCTGGGCTGTGGCTCGGTGGTGAGCGTTTGCCTAGCACGTGTGACGCACTGGGTTCCATTCTCAGCACTACATAAAATAAATAAATCAATAAACAAGCACAGGAGGAAGCTGCCCTGACATTCCACAGGCCCCGTGCTCCTTCTGGGCTCTTCCCGAGGCAGATATCTGCCATTCTGAGAGTCAGCACCCTCAGTCTGTCTTGACAAAGGCAAGCAGCAGCACGGTGCTCAGTACCATCAAGCATTATTCGGAAAGAAGCAACCTTTGAAGAAGTATGACCCTGGGCTTGTGCTCGGCTGGACCCAACGGCCTGTTCACCTGGGTCTGCACGAGACCCTGCACCTTCCTGCAGCGACAGATTTCCCTCGTTGACTACTATCAACAAAGACTCTATGAGGAAAGAAGCGAATTCTCTGAGTGGAGGGTATAGGGAGCTGTTTTCCTCCTAAAGGAGGAAAGAAGAGGGGGAGGGAGAGAATTCTCTTTGAGTGACTGTGGGGAGTCCGTCCTGCTCTTGTAGAGAGCCCCAAGAGAGAACAGGCCTGAGAGCCTAATCCCACCTCAGGATGCATGGCTCACCTAAGGCCTCCTTAACCATTAGGCCCCACAGGACCAAGACTCCAGGCTTCCCCTTACAGGCCCTGCCTGTGCAGCCCTCCTGACTGGGTGGTGAGGGAGGCCCGTCTGGGCTCAGGCAAACTGCTGCAGGACACAGAGCCCTGGAGGACCTTGACCGCAGGAACCCCACGCTGAGCCTGCTGTGTTAAAATGGAGCCAGTCTTCAGGCACGTGGACAGGCGTCATGACAGCCACCGCACATACATTATCTGAAGCATCTTCTGCCTGGCTCACACAGGGGAGTAAGCTCAGGGAGCCTCAAAGCCAGCCAGCATCAATCCTCTGCCTCTCAGACACACACAGACCATCTGCTGCTGGGCTTTTGGTGACCTGCCCTTGCTGTGCTTGGGCCTTAGCAACGCCCCCAGTTTCACTTCACAGGTTGGCTCCCCACACCTCACAGGGTTGTTTTTTTGTTTGTTTGTTTTGTTTTTTGCAGTGTTTATGGTTATCAGTTGTAACTGTTGTTACTGCTGTTATTGTTGCTACTGAAGAAGTACATTGATCATTTGATTTTTTTTGAAAATTTTTTAATTTCAAAGTTATGGAAAATTACTAAGAATGAAGAACTTCCATATACCCTTTATTTACTAATTTACCAATGTGAATTAATTTTGCCCCCTTTGCTTTATAATTCTCTTCTCTCTCTCTCTCTCTCTCTCTCTCTCTATATATATATATATATATATACACACACACACATATACACTCAAACATACATATATACATATCTATGTACATATATGTAAGTATATACATGTACATGAATATATATACATATGTATCTGTATTTATAATTCTGTTTTATTTTGTTTGCAGTGCTGGGGATCAAACTCATGGCCTTGGGCACGAGTGAGTGATCTACCACCGAGCTTTATCCCCAGTCCTCTATGATTATTTTATGAACCATTTGAGAGTAAGTTGTAGATACTATGGCCCTTTGCTCCTAAAAACTTTAGTGTGCATTTCCTAAGAACAAGAACATTCTTTTACATAACTGCAGTACATTGACTAAAATCAGGAAATTTAAACATTGATACCACACTATTATTTAATTCATAATTCAGAGTCAAATGTCATCAACTATAGCTATTTTTTTTTCCTGGTCCACAATATAACCCAGAGTCACACATTGCATTTTGTTGTCAAATCTTTTCATTCTATTTTAATCTAGAACAGTTGCCAGCCTTTCTTTTTCTTCTCAACATTTTTTAAAAGAGTAAGGTGCTCCTCAGTTTGAGTCTGGCTTGTGTTTCCTCATGATTAGATTTGAGTTATACATTTTTGGCAGGAATACCACCAAATTAATGCAACACATCAGGAGGCACAAGACATTGCTTTGTCCACGACTCAGATTTGCAGTCACTATCGTGGCTTTGATCTTCACACCTTGTACGACATGAATGGACATTTCCTATCTTTGGTTGCATGTATTGAGATTATGGGCAAAAGGGGCACACACTTACAGTCACACAACTTGTGATGGGCTGTGCAGTAGAAATCCCGGGCTAGCCTGTTGCATGATGAGGAGCATATGGCCCAGACCCTCTCCTCACCCTAGCCAACAGCCAGCCAAGTCCTAGAAGCAAGGCTACCTGTCAAACAGCAGCTGACCATAGATTCATAAGTGAGCCCAGTCGATGGTAACAAAAGAGCAACATAAATTGATGGTCCACAAAATTGTGAGCTAAATATGTCATTTTAAGATACTGCATTTTATGGTGGTATGTTACCTTACAAAAGCTAAATGATAGCTCTTATTTATTAGGGGAAAGAGACAGGACTCTTTCACTTGAGATCACAGAAGAAGCAAGGTTATCCTGCTTTTCTTCTAGCTCTCTCCTATGTCCTTCAGGGATCTGATGCTCCACCTATGTTTGGGATTCAAAAAATCATTTAAAAAATTTTTTAAATTTGTTCTAATTAGTTATTACATGTCAGTAAAATGCATTTTGACACATTGCAAAGGATCATTTTATTTATGTGATTTTTTAAAAATCACAGATCTTGCTCTCCCTGGGTCTTTCCAAAACAAAGATACATCTCTTGATTGTTTGATTAGACAGATCAAGAGTCTCTCACAACACTCTTCAATAAAAATCAGTACCTGAAGAACCTTCCTGAACAGAGACCCCATAGCAAAGGAGAAGCCTATCATTACCAAACCTGTGGCAAACATCTTCCAGGGCCTTAGGAGTTCACTATGGCTCTCACATTGACCAACTCCTCTGACCTCTTCCCTAGAGGTGAGGATTTGGTGCATCTGGGATACAGCCTGAGGATTTGTGTTTTTAACAAGTTTATCTGGTGTTTCTGATGATCACAGAAGTTAAAGAAATCCTGCATTATTAAAGTAGTTCTCAACATAGGATGCACATTAAAATCACTAGGGTGATTTTTTAAAAATCTCAATGCCCAGAACATTTACATCAGAATTTCTAGGTCTGGCACCCAGGCATCAGTATTTTTGAAAAAAAATACTTCCCAGATGAGTCCAGTATGCAGCCAAGCAGAACCTGTGCTGATTTCCATGACTGATGATTAAGAAGTTGGCTTTTTCTTCACTCACATGAATAGTCCCCTTCAACAGCATGTGTTTCTGATAATGAAGGTGTACTTATTTTGGTGCACATGAAATGCTGCCCTGGAGACTTCTTTATGGTTTTCTCTCCACCACTCAGCTGACTTTCCAGACTGAAGGTGGATTTTCCTTCCTAAGAGCAGTTTCCTAAATCCCATAAATTTTCCTTTTTGGGGAATGATAATTTTCTTTTCTTTTCAGTGTGCTGTTCACTGTGAAGACAGACTGAAGAGCAAGCTGTGAGCATTAACAACTGTAGCAGATGCTGCTGAGGCTCTGCTGTTATTCCATAGAGACATGGATCATTCCTATGCACAGGGACTCCTGATGGGCAACTATGCCTCTGTTGAAGGGCATCAAGCATGCTAGGCAAAAACTCTACCTCTTATCTATGCAAATGAATAAACCAGAAGAGCCTGGAAATTTACATTTCCTGAAGCAGCCTTTCACCAATGACTGACAGATGGGGTATAAATACCCCAGCTCCCTCACCCAATCAGGGAAACCATGAATATGTACATCATTGCAGAGGTTTATTGAGAGACTAGGCCAAAGCTACTCCACCTCACCACTACTGTGAATTTTGCTTAATATTGCACCAAATTACCATCTACCCTTTCCTGTCTAATTTTTCACTGCCCTATTGGCTTTTCTTTGGAAGACTTCAAAAATTTCTTTGTAAGGCTTTAGAGAAACCATATCTCAAGGCCTTCCTCTCCAGAACCCAATCTAAGACAGCAACCAACAAGATCACCCAGTTCAAGACCTTTACAAAGATGGTAGCACTGACCTTCATTCTTAATACAAAGGGCATTGTACATGCCACCAGGAACTGGGTTGCTCTCAATTCTCACATCGATAGCTTTCATGATTTGCTGTTCACCACTCCCTTTGCTACACACAGTTGTCCTGAAACAAAGAAGGCACAGGGTTAGGAGGACTTCTCTGTGTTGACAAAAAATGGGAAAGAACAATTCTTTTCTGCTATTAGTTCTGAATCAAAAGAGATTTTTGTGACTCATGAGCTTTAGCTGAAAGCATCAATATAGAAACATTCTCCCTAAACAAAGGTCTACATTCAGGTAGACAGGTGGTGCCTGAGTTGAAGTCATAGGTGTTGATTCAAGTTTCAGAAGCAAAACATTGATGATATTTTCGAATATGTTTAGTTTTGACTTCATAAAATTCTGTTCTCTGCTTTTTTCAAATTTAGTAAGGTAAAGTATTAGTTCATAAACCTATAGCTTTTCTCATTTTCTTACTTAAACATTTAATGCATCATATTTCCCTCTAGGTGTAGCTTTAGTAACACTTCATGAGTCTGGATATGTTTTTTATATTATTCAATTCTAAATATGTGCCAATTTCCATTATAATCTATTTTTGTCCCATATTTCCTTGACTTATTAAAATTTAATAATACTTTTACTCCCTCTGCCAATAATATGTATCATTAACTGCATGATGTATAATGTAATACCATGTATTATTAATATGTATGTATTAATTTGCTTCAAATATTGCCACATATACTATTTTTTGGTGTGCAGTATTATCACTGCTTTATATAATTATATAATTTTAATCTGCCCACATATTAACTTATTCCATTCATTCTTTTTCATATCTCCAGACTTCCACCTACAATTATTTTCCTCCTGCCTGAAGAACACCCTTTAGTGGTTTTTGTTTGTATGTTTGTTTGTTGGTGCTGGGGATTGAAACCAAGGCCTCGGCACATTAGGCAAGTATTCTACCACGGAGCTACACCATCAGCCTTCTTCAGTGTTTCTTTTAGTGAAGGTTGAGTGTAATGAATTCTCTTGTCTTTTATCTATCTTACAATGTCTATTTCGTCTTTATAACTGAAAGATATTTCACTGTATATATAGAATTCTAGGTTGACAGTAATTTTTCTTTCAGCACTTTAAAGTTACCAATCAATCATCTTTGGGTTTTGTCAGTTTGTTATTGTTCCTTTAAAGATAAGTTATTGTTCCTTTAAAGATAATCTTTCTTTTTATTCATATTTGATCCTTACTAATCTTTCAATGATATGCCTAGTTTTTTTTTTTTTTTTTTTTTTCTGTCTCTCTCTCTCCTTCTCTTTCTCTCTCTTAGCAGCACTGGGGATAAAACCCAAGGCATCAAGCATGCTAGGCAAAAACTCTACCACTGAGCTACATATCCAGCCCATGGATTTCTTTTCATTTGTCCTACTCAGACTTCACAGGTTTTCTTGAATCTGTGCCTTGATGTTTTTCTTCAGTTGTGGATCATTCTTATATTATACTTATTCCATTTCTTTAATTTTTCCCTTTATAGTTCAAATCACACGCATCTTGTTTGACTTTTACCTTTTCCTCTACACTTTTCATTCTTTTCCCGCTGTTTTTTATTCTAAATATCTTCCTGTGGAATATCTTCCGGTTCACTAATTCTCTTTTTGGCTCCTTTTAACCAGCTATTAGAGATTCATTTATTAGATGAAATCTGTTAGATTGATCCTCATTAAGTTTTGTTGTTATATTTTTCTAGAGCTTCCATTTGGTTATTTTTATAGTTTCCCATCCTCTGCCAAAATTGCCTTCTTGCCTTCTAAATCTTTGAACATTTTAAGGATAGTTACTATAAAGTCTATAGCTACCAATGCTAATATTTAGAATTTCTATTATCTATTATTTCTCTTGAATTGTATTCTTGTTGCCTTGTATCCTCAGGTGACTAGTTATTTTATATTGGCAAAAACTGTTTAGTGTTAATTCAATAAATTAAATTCAATTTAATTATTGAGACCTAGGATAACATTATCTTCCTCAAAAGAGACTTTTAATTGATTCTTCTAGATATCTGGAGCCGTTGAATTCAAGTATTATTCAATCCAAATTTGTGGCTTTCAAGTATTTAATGGTTTGCTGCTGCTTCTCAGAAGGCCTGTGTCCAATTTACTGAACTGTGTACTGTGTCCAGTTTACTCTTATTCCTGAGGTACAGTCCAGGAAGGTACAACCCAAAGCAAAAAGACTCACTGGAAGGGGCTGGGATTGTAGATCAGTGGTAGAGCGCTGGCTTAGCACATGTGAGACACTGGTTTCAATCCTCCACACCACATAAAAATAAATAAATATTATGTAAAAAAGAAATCTTCTAAAAAAAAAAAAAAGACTCACTGGACCTCCTCCACAGAATCTGAATTTAAATCTCAGTCCTCCTAGTCCATGAGGCTACCAAGAATGCTACTCAAGCCAGGTGCAATGGCACATGCCTGTAATTCCAGTGACTTGGCCATTGGATTTGATCCCCAATACCATTAAAAAAAAAAATGTAAACCTCCATCCATCCCATGTTCCTATACATATGCAAATGATTAAGACTATATACCAGGGCTGGGGATATAGCTCAGTTGGTAGAGTGCCTGCCTTGAATGTACAAGGCCCTGGGTTCAATCCCCAGCACCACCAAAAAAAAAAAAAAAAAAAGACTATATACAATCATGTACAGTTTTTGCAACTGAAAAAAAAATTCAAAATAACGAAAATAACAAAGTCAGGGAATTAAAAAAAAATACAACCTGTGACTTAACTCCAGAATTTATATGAGAATTCAAAACAAGAACATCCTGAAAGCCACTTCCCATAGCACTTTGCCTATCCTAGTGCCTCCAGAGAACTTTTTTTTTTTCCGGGGGATATTAGGGATAAAACCCAGGGGTACTTTACCATTGAACTACCTCCCCATTACTTTTTCTACTTTATTTATTATCTAAAGTATTAAATTTATCTAATTTATTTCCACTATGTTGCCAAGGTTGACCTCAAATTTATAATCCTCCTGCCTCAGCCTCTTGCATCTCTGGGATGACAGGAGTACACCACCACATCTGGCTAGAGAACAATTACTGAGCCCCCCTGTAAGACTTGATCAGACCCCTGGGGTGAGTGCAAAGGAGGGTTTTCCCCAGCTGTCCAACTTACCCAAGGGTGCCATCTGCCAGCCAACCTGTGGTGCACACCGCCAAGGTGCAATCCTGGACCACTCTCCGCAGCTCTTCCGCAGACACCAGGTGAGCACCCCTGGTCTTACAGGAAAGCCGAGCTGTCTCCAGGTCCAGGCCCTGAGAACCATTCTGAGACTCTAGCACAAAGAGCTTCCCTGTGTGGGTATAAGCACAAACATGGGGAATCTAAGATCCATGGAAATTTAATCTCAGCAAACTCACTGGCAGACGCTGGTCACAACTGTAGCTTCCCAACTGACTGAGACCCAAATGCAGCTACCTCCATTGTACACGGTCTCTGGGACCAGGTGATAGCAATTACACTATTTTTTTTTTTTAGTGTTTACTGATGGTATTTATTTATTCTTCAGCTGGTTCATATTATTTGCCTTATTTTACTTGTATTGGTATATATTAATTATACAGCATAGTGGGTTTAATTATGACATATCCATATATGCATGTAATTTGATGTTTCATTCCCCAACACCTCCCCTTTCTTTCATCCCTCACTCTGATTCTCTTTCTCTACACAAATCATCTCCCTTCTGCAATCATGATGTTCTTTCCACCCCCTCTAGCTTCAACATATGAAAGAAAACATGCAATACTTGTTTTTCTGAGTTTGGTGGATTTATTTTAACATGATGTTCTCTAGTTCCATCCATTTTCCCTTAGATGACATAATTTCATTCTGCTTTATGGCTGAATAATACTCCATTGTGTTTGTGTGTGTGTGTGTGTGTGTGTTATTTTCTTTATCCATTCATCTGTTGATGGACACCTAATCCAATTCCATCACTTGGCTATTGTGAATGGTGCCACCATACATAGGTATGCATGTATCTCTGAAGTAGGCTGACTTTGATTTTTTTTTGAATAAACACTGAGTAGTGATATAGCAGGATCATAAGATAATTCTATTTTTACTTTTAGTTTTGAGACAAAGTCTCACTAAGTTGCCCACATTGTCCTTGAACTTGATTCCTATTCCCTCAGGCCCTCAAGTAACTTGGATTACAGGTGTGGCCACCATGCTTGGGTCTATTTTTATTTTTTAATTTTTTTGAGGAAACTTATAGGATGTTTTTGTTCATTTTTGTTTTTTTTTTCAGGGTCTTGCTATGTTGACCAGGCAGGTCTCTAACACAAGGCTCTCCAATGAACCAATATGCCTGGCTTGCTCTTGTATTCTTAAGCAAACAAACAAGCAAAAACCCAGCCACTCTGGCCTGTTATATAGATAAACCTTTCAACTCTTTCTTTTAAAAGATGTTTTATAAACACCGTGGGGCAAGGCTCAGCTACTTGGGTTTCCTTGAGGTAGGTCACTCAGTGTCCCAGGCACGAATTCAGGACTCAGCTCTGTCTTCTTCTGCCTCCCCCATCATAGGTGACCCACTGCACAACAGGTTGCTTCACTTCCCTCTGTCCCTTGCCTGAGGACATTACCAGGCCCTTCCCATAACAAATTCACTTGCACACACTAAGCTTCTCTCCTACTGGACAAGACAGCGGGGACCATGTCCGCTACATGATGGCTTCCTGCAGCACATCAACATGTGGGTATGCAGCAGACCTCTAAGAGTGTGTGACTGACATGGGAATGAGAACATGAATTCAGGCAGAGGCAGAAGCCCAGGCTGAAGCAAAAGAGAACTTTAGGCAGGAAAATCATGGCATGGAAGGGAGCACTGTGGTCCCCAGGAGCCTCCTGGAGGGATAAAGCAATACTTTGGGTGGCCCCATCAGGTTTAAAGGCTGGGAAGAAAAAAACAGAACGAAACACCTATGTTTTTTTGGGGGGGGGCATTGAACTCAGGGGCACTCGACCACTGAGCCACATCCCCAGCCCTATTTTGTATTTTATTTAGAGACAGGGTCTCACTGAGTTGATTGAGCACCTCACTTTTGCTGAGGCTGGCATTGAACTTGTGATCTTCCTGCCTCAGCCTCCCGAGTAGCTGAGATTACAGGTGTTTAACTGCACACCAAACTACAGAATATACATCTGTTTTAGGCAATGCAGAACATTTGTAAAATTGATCAAATTATTAAAAATCTAAAAGAAATCTCAGGTATGGTTTGGCAGCTCATGCCTGTAATCCCAGCTACTTGGGAGGTTGAGGCAGGAAGATCCCAAGTTTAAGGCTAGCTCCTGCAACTTAGCAAGACCCCTGTCTGAAAAGTAAAATGGGCTGGGGATGTAACTCAGTGGTGGATCACCCCTGGATTCAGTCCCCAGTATTTAAAAAAAAAAAATCAAACAAACAAAACAAAACATGAAAGACCAAAATCATACAAAGAATGCTTTTAGATCACAGCAAAAACAAGCCAAAATCATTTCTTTTATTTATAAAACACCTATATAATGTTTACTATGGGTCTAGTATTGTATAAATGCTTTATGAATGTTCATTATATTAATCCTTATAATAACTCTATGATATAGGTGTTATTATTAGCCCCATTTTATAGTTAAGGCTTAGTCTTAATTCTTGCCCTAGATCACATAGCTGGTATACAAAATCAGGCAATTTGGCTCTCTATCAGTGATCTTAATCACTGCATTATATTGCCTCTCAATGACAAAGTAATAACTAGGAAAATTCCCTTGTATTTGGAAATTTCAAAATATACTTCCAAACGAGCCATGTGCTCAAAGAAGCAACCACAATTAAAATCAAACATTTTTAACTTACAGGACAAAATCTTGTGGAGTAACTAGATTTAAGGGAAATTTATAGCCTCAAGGTTCATATTACAAAAAAAGTATAGTTGAAATATTAATGATCTAAGATTCTATCTGTAAAACATTCTGAAAAAGAACACAAAAATCAAAGCTTCTAAAGAAATGGAAAGAAGGAAATAATAAATATAGAGTCAAATCAATGAAATGGAAAGGAACACAGAAAATACACCAAAGCCAAAAGACGGTTTAAAAATTTTTGATAAATCCCTAGTAAAAGATATAAGACAGAAAGAGAAAATACAAATCACCAATATCAAGAATGAAAGAGAACATCACTACAGATCCCAAGGACATCGAAATGCTAATTACAGACTGTTGTGTTATATATGCCAGCACATTTGACAACTTAGATGAAATGGGAAATTTTCTTAAAAAAGAACAACAGAAAAATGGACACGAATGAATTTTAAAATCTTAATATTCCTTTATCTACTAATGAAATTAAATTCATTATCTAAAATCATTCCACAAGAAAAACTCCAAACACAAATGATATCACTAACAAATCAGGCAAACAAATAAGACAAAACAAAAAAAGTCTCACTTTACAGAAACTCTTTCAGAGAACAGAAGAGGAAACAACTTTCCAATTCCTTTAGGAACCATCATAACCCTAATACCAACACCTGACAAGAAATGAAAATTACAGCCCAATACATTTGGTGATAGATTCTGTTGTCCTTGCTCCAGGGTCACTCCTAAGCCTTCTCTTCTCACTGTGAAAATTTTGCTTAGGGTTCCATCCACATGTGATTTTAAAGACCATCCTTACAGAGATGGCACATTTTGGTTGTTCTTTTGTGTGTTTGTTTGTTTTTGGTATTGGGGATTGAACCCAAAGAGACTCAACCACTGAGCCACATCCCCAGCCCTTTTTTATATTTCATATAGAGACAGGGTCTTGCTGAGTTGCTTAGGGCCTCGCTAAGTTGCTGAGGCTGGCTTTGAACTTGTGATTCTCCTGCCTAGGCCTCCGGAGCCACAGGGATTACAAGCGTGCGCTCCTGAGCCCAGCAGAGATGGCACATTCTTCTCTTGAGTCCAGATCTTTTCCATTTGCTTCTTCCAGCCCCATCTTTTGCCTTGAAATATCTGATATGGTCTTTCTACATCCAAGAATGCCCCAGTCACATCCACCCTCCCTACATCACTGTTCTGGTGATTTTTGTCAAATTGTGGATCTAATCAGATCTAATCTACTACTTGAAACCATTCAATAGCTTCCTTTCCTATGAGGCTCCAAATTATCTTGACCCTACCAATTTCTCTAGCACCATCTTGAACCACTTCTCCATGGACCCTCAGCTCCAACCATTATCTCCCATGCCCCATTTCCCCTACCAACTTACAGGTTCTTTCAACACCATTCTCCTCCCGGAACATTCTTTGCCTTCTTTTGCCTAGTTCATTCTTACTCATCTTTCAGGTTCTCCTGCATCAAGTCAAAATCTCCCATATTATGCTCTCAGAGTGCTTTCTGTACTTTACTATTATCAATGACTAAAATTGCAATTTCATATTTCATTCATAGAATTATTTGCTTAATGATTCCCTCCCCCACTGGATTTTTAAAATAAAATTTTTATAGGTACATGATAATTATACTTAAGAGTGGGATTTGTTGTTATATATTCCTACATGCAAACAATATAATTTGGTTGATTTCATTTCCCAGATCCTCCTTTATCCTTTCTCCTCCTGGTTCCCTTCTTCTGCTGGTCTACCTTAGATTTCTGTGAAATCCTCCCACTTTTTTTTTTCATTTTCCCAGCTGGATTTTTAAGCTCCCTAATAGAAAGCACTTATTTCTCTTCATCATTCTATATAGTGCCTAGTAGATAGTAGATGCTCAATAAATATCTGTTTAATGAATCTTTCCCTATAATCATTACCCAAACATTTAATTTGTATTTAACTAACATGAAGATTTTTCCCCCCATTTTGAAAGTATTCAAAAGTCCAGTAGCAGGTCTCCTTTATGTGTGAGATGTTTGTCTCATTAGTCAAATGTAAAATAAATATTTTTCATTTGCCTTTTTCTTTGGATGTATTTTTTAGAAATAATTTCTCTCCACATTGAGCTCATCCAATATCTGTAACGCATCACAGTTTAGCTGAGCATTTCTTCTTCCTCCTCCCAGCATGTAGCACACAAATAACTAACTGTGGGAAGTGGTACTAGCTAAACATACATTGAGTAAAGAATCTTTTCATAATGTAGCTTATAATTCTTCAATGGCTCTATTATAAAAGGTGGAGCTCAGCAAACAGAATTTCTTAAAAGCAAGTGGACTTCTAGTTCTTCATTGGAAAAGTGGAGAGGATTAAAAAAGGAGAAAGGAGAAAGGAAACATTTTCAGCAAGTCACAAGGAGACTTGTCCTCGAGTGTTGTTCTCTCTTTCCCTTTGTTCAAGGACATTTTTGCCTTCAATTTTCTATGACCCACATCAAGCCAGATAGGTACAAAATATTGATCAGTATCCATGTCATAGTCCACTTAAGAAGTCACAATGGGGCAAAACTCTAAAACCTCATAGATATTTCTTTAAAAGGAACTAAAATTGGTACAAAAGTATACATTGTTCAAAAGTTAATACTAGCTACAATTCATTTGACATGATTCCTTAAAATCAACTTTTTTTTTAATAACTCTACATCAGGCCAAAAATTCTAAAGAATTACCAATGGACTGGCTGTTAATAACTACTGTTTCATTTGGGGCTGATAGAAATGTTCTAGAATTAGATGCCCAAGCATGGGTTGCATAATATGACGATTATACTAAAATCCACTGAGTTGTACATTATAAAATGGTAAATTTCATGTGACTTACATCTCAATTTAAAAAATTAACAGTGATCGTTAACAGTTGTAAAATCGTTCACAGCTAACTCTGAGGACAGGAAGGAAACAAGATATTCATCCTTAATTAGAAAGAGCACTTCCGCCCTATGCATACAACAAAGAGCATAAAAATTCTAAGATAATATCTGCAGTATTTTATGATTTTTCCCTTGGCTTTCCCTTTTCCTTAATCACCATGCTTCTTTTTGTCAATGTTGTCTAGTTTCGTCCATTATGATGCATTTAAGAATAATATTTCAGCAGAGAGTGGTAGTTCACGCTTGTAATCCCAGGGCTCCAGAGGCTGAGATAGGAGGATCACGAGTTCAAAGCCAGCCTTGGCAAAAGCGAGGCGCTAAGCAACTCAGTGAGACCCTGTCTCTAAATAAAATACAAAATAAGACTGGGGATGTGGCTCAGTGGTCGAGTGACACTGAGTTCAATCCCCAGTACTCCCCCCCAAAAAAAGAAAAAAAAAAGAATAATATTTTAAAATACACAAAGCATCCTGCATTAGCTGAGGGGTTTCCTCCTTTATCAATCTGAGTCATCCTATGCCTGACTTATTAGAAACCCTCATGGAGGTGAAGATTTCTTAAAAGCAAGTGGACTTCTAGTTCTTCATTGGAAAAGTGGAGAGGATTAAAAAAGGAGAAAGGAGAAGTTTCTTTTTAAGTTTGCTTCCTTTTAGATCCTCCTGCGTTAAGTTCAGGGGCTTTTGTGCCAAAATCAAAATATGGTTGAGCGCCGGGGTTGTGGCTCAGTGGGCAGAGCACTTGCCTAGCATTCATGAGGCACTGAGTTCTATCCTCAGCATCACATAAAGATACACAAATAAAATAAATGCATTGTGTCCATCTACAACTTAAAAAAAAAAAAAAAAACACGGTTGAATTAGCTTTTCAAAAAGGAATTGATACTGGGCCCCCGAACGTGCTGACTCAAGGCAGGTATTAAAAGCTGAATTCAGGTTCAAAAACCAAAGCGGGTCAATTCTCAAAAGAATCTCCTATATTTCATGTCTCATCCCCCACCCTGCATTTTGGGCTCCAGCCCCATTGGTTTTTTGTTTGTTTGTTTGTTTGTTTTAATCATCTGTCCCATTTTCCCTGCCACTCAAAGTCTTTGCAGAAGCGACAGCTATTCCCTCTACCCAAGGCACTCTCTTTTCTTCGCCTACACATTCCCACTCATCTTTTAGATCGTCCTGGTCCAAGTCAGTGCATCCGAGGGTGTTATCTAACTAACGGTCCTGTCGTCCAACACATTTAACAGTCCTTGAGAAATTGAAAGATGGTGGAAACGTAATCCCAGCCAAGGTGGCACCCAAGACGTGATTTCATTCTAAAAAGCTTTAAACCTGGACCTTGGAAAAGCTAGCGGCGGGACTGCAGGACCAACTCACAGGCTCTTCCCAGTGCGCGCCCTCAGCGAAGGGAGGGAGAGTCCAAGCACCTAGGCTGGTGCTGGGCGCTCTAGCGCGCAGAGACTCGATGGACCGGGAGAGGGGTGCTGGGTCACAGGACCGCCTCTCGCCTCCTTCCTCCCGGGCTTGATGCTTGCCCTGCCCTTCCAAAGTAGCAGCTCCGGCGAGCTTCGCCTTCCCCGCCGGACCCCATGCTCCACCCCAGGCCCTGTCGCCCCTGGAACACTCACCATCCGCCCGCACAGAAAGGCGCGGCACACCCAGCAGGAGCAGCGATGCCGCCCAGAGGGCAGACAGGCGGCTGTGCGCGGGGACACGCGAGCCGGGTCCCTCTGCAGTCATGGTCCTGTTGCCCGCTGGCCGGCGGGCTCCGCTGAGGGCTCCAGTTGCAATCGGGGTTGCCGGGGCCACTGCCCAGCGCACGCCACTTAACGCTGCGGTCTTTGCTTTGCTAGCAAGTCGCTAGCTTCGCGCCCGGAGCGCCGAGAGGAGGAGTGAGGAGAGCTGGTGGAGGTTTGGGACGCTGGAGCCTCAGAAGGAGCGCTGGGGCTACCGAACTCCCGGGGGTCTTCTCCGTGGCGCCGCGGAGGCGGCTGTAACCCGGCTCCGCCTCCGCGCTGGGCACCTGGAAGCCTCGGTGCCAAAAGGGGCTGCGCCCGACCGCGCGCTCTGAGGGCGACGGCGGGCGGAGGGTGAGGGCGCCGGGAGGCGGGGAGAGCAGAGTCGGTAGCTAGAAACCCGCTTCCGTCTGAGGTACTTTGACCTGAGGGTGACAGGCCGAACCCCACCGGAAGGACCATTAAAAACTGGGTGCTTAAATCTGCCCTCCACCTCTTGACTTTCCAAGAGGAAAGTCTTGACTTGACGTCCTCTTACGGAACAGGAACATTTTTCTTTTTTCTTCTTCTTTGAAAAAAGAATCCAACTTGCTAACCTCGATCTAAGCAGGGAGACGCACGAAAATGACAAGATTCCTTCCCCCCTACCCCCCGTCAGAAAAGGACATCTGCAGGGATGCCTTCTTTTTGACTTTTCCTAGTATATCCTAGTATATCTCAAAGAACATCAAAGACACTGGTGGGGTTGCCACCACTACCACCCGCCTCCCAAATCAGGGCTCCTTGACCTTGAGAGGGCCTGAGATTCGGATGCTTTACAGAAGGTCTGGGAATTTACGCTTTAAGGAAATGTCCCAATGAATTCTGAATTGACTCCTTACAGTTCAACCTGTCCTGTCTCCCCAGCATCAACAGCTCTATTTAGTGGAAGAAGACTTGCTTTTCTCATAGAGCAATAAAGATCAGTATCTTAGAACTGACACATGGGTGGCACTCTACAGTTTACAGACCCCTACATATTTATGTATGTGTCAACAAGTATCACCTGAATGCCCACAACATGCCTACCCTTATACTAGACCCTGATAAGACCATAATTGGTCCTTAAAAATGCCCCCCCATAACACTTAAATAAGACAGATACTAAAGAGAAAAGGAATGTTTGGTGATAAAATGAACAAATAATTGTCTCCAGTTAGTGAACCAGGATGTAGAAATTGAAAGAATTTACTTTTCACAGTAAGAACTGAGATATGAAACCCACATCTCATTTACTACAGATGTCATTTTTCAGGTCATGTAATTTTGGAAGTGCACCGAAAAAGATCTTCTTTCTGCATTCCTTCCTATCAATTACAAGGCTCCTATTAGTGATTAATCCCTTCATGTAATTAAGTTTTGCTTTTGAAACACATATACTCTAGAATGTTGAATCCTTGCCAATCATTCACATGTAAGTGCAAATGAATTTACTTAGTTACTTTCCTTCTAACAGTTAGCTGGTAATGTAGGAGTGAGACTTCACATGTCTGGGCCAGAGGACATATTTTAAACCTTCAGTTAATGCTGAGAATGGAGGAGAGACCAAGAGGCATCTGCAGGACTTCCCCCTGATCCACACTGGAGCTGTACCTAGTGGTGTTTTTGGAACAATCATTTTGATACTACTACCTAATCCAAATGGCATTTAAAACATTATCTTTATTCATATTTGTCTTGATAAGTTCTAATTTGGGGAGATGGCATGCTCTAAAGGTGTATTTGGTACAACTGCTTGAGAACAGTATTTGACTGTTTCCTATAAAGTTAATAGTGCACTTATTTTAAATCCCAGAAATTCCTCTCACAGGTATATCTCCAAAAGAAATGAAAACAAACAGATTTTTTTACAGAAATGTTCAGAGCATCTTTATCTATAATAATCAGAAGCTGGGAGCTACTCAGATGCCATCAACAGATGAATAAAGAAAACAAACTCATGTTCACATCATGGGAGACAATTCAACAACATGAAGAACAAACTATTGAATGTGTTACTTGGCAATGTGGATTAATCTCAAAAATATTGAGAGAAAAAGGTCTATGCAAAAGGGTTCCTACTATATGATCCCATTTACATGAAGATCAAGAAGGGTAAAACTTGCCAGGTGTGGTGGTGCACTCCTGTAATCCCAGCAGCTTGGGAGGCTGAGGCAGGAAGATCACGAGTTCAAAGCCAGACTCAGCAAAAGCAAGGCACTATGCAACTCAGTGAGACCCTGTCTCTAAATAAAATACAAAATAGGGCTGGGGGTGTGGTTCAGTGGTCATGTGCCCCTGAGTTCAATCCCCAGAAGGCCCCCTCCCCATCAAAAAAAAAAAAAGGGTAAAAATTAAGCCAGGAGTGGTAGTGCATGCTTGTTATCCCAGTGACTTGGGAGGCTGAGGCAGGAGGATCATAAGTTCAAAGTCAGCCCCAGCAACTTAGGGAGACCTGTCTCAAAATAAGAAATAAGAAGAGCTGAAGATATGGCTCAGTGGTTCAGTGCCCTTGGGTTCAACCTCTGGTACAAAAAAAAAAAAAAAAAAAAAAAGGCGTGTGTGTTAATCTGTGATGAGAAAAATTGCCACAGTGGTTGCTTTTTAAAATTTTGTATTTGCTATTTTTAGTTATACATGACAGTAGAATGTGTTTTGACATATTATACATACATGGAATATGACTTTCATTTCTTGTGGTTGTACATGATCATATACTCATATATAAAATAGGAAAGTTATATCCAATTCATTCAACTGTCTTTCCTATTCCCATCCTCCCTCCCTTCCTTTCCTTCCCTTTGTCTAATCTAAAGAACTTTTATTTTCCCTACCCCATTATAGCGTCACAAAGTCTTATCCTCTATCACCTGGGAATGATGTCAACTCAATCAAATTTCCACCTGGAACAACACTGTAAAATTAACCAACTCAGTATGTGCCTTCACATAAATCTTTTTTTTTTTTTATGGAAAGAGAAAAGGGAAGAAAAAACAATTGTTTGTCATACACACACACACACACACACACACACACACATATATATATTTCTCCTTCTGTTCTATGAGTATCTTGGCCTACATGGGTTTGTATGTTTGCTTTTTAACTGATGAGAGAAACCCAAACTTTTATTCCTACCAATGCCCTGTCTTTATTAGTTTGCCATGGCTTCTCACTGGATGTGGGAGTCCCCTCAGTTCTAGATATAATCACCCATGCTCCATTATGGAGAATTAACCCAGCTCCCCTTTGGTCGTCAGGATCAATCATCCCAATCAGCAGAATAATCTTGTCTACCTGTTGGTTTTTAAATATGAGGATACATGTGAGCTGGGGTTGTAGCTCAGCTGGAGAGCACTTGCCTAGCATGTGTGAGGCACTGGGTTCAATTCTCAGCACTGCATGTGAATAAAATAAAGGTCCATCAACTACTACAAAAATATAAAATAAATAAATATGAGGATACAAGATCACCTGAGAGCAGTATCCGCTTCCTATGTTTGGGAACATGCCTGTGTGTATGCCAATGGAAATATTTCCACGTCTCCCAACTCATCAGTCTAAGGGTTGCAGGGATGTCATGTGAAACTTTGATAGGTGGATTATTATATGTAATAGCAGAGAAGTCATTCCCATTTTCACCTTGGTTCTTAGACCAGTACATTCTGTCTTATAAATTACACCACATATTCGCTGCTGGCATAAGGCATATATTTTATGCTGGGTGACTGTCCCAAAATGACCAGAGTGATTTCTTATAGCTCGTTTCTTGACTGCACCTCCACCTTCCTATCCAGCCACCTGCTTCTGGGTAAAACTCATGGGATAAGTCAATTGCCTCACTGTATTTTCTGCAAAATTTGTTACTTGGTGTGATGTGTGATACCATGGCGATAGATGAGACATTCTGAATCCACATGTAGGAGCAGGGCAGGCAGGAAGGCAAAATCATACGTAGAGTAAGAATCCATCCAATGAAACAAACAACTGTGGCTTCTATGAAGAAAGGGACCCAATGGAAACAACCTTTGTCAACAGAAGAGAACAGCTAGGAAATAATGTTCTTTAGGGACTCATGGTGTCCTCCACTGTTGGCACAGTGAGGGTAATCAGGTCAAATCTGGAGAAAAATCTGTGGTACTGTACCCCTGCACAGTTTCCGTCCCTGCCACCATGGCCCCCACATACATGATTCTATTACACAGGCACTGATAGAGCTGGAGAAAGAAGCACCAACCATCGGAGCCCAAATGATTATCAGAGCATCCTCTCCGTCAAATGTCTGGTGGGTATGGGCTACACATACATTCACAGACTGTGCCCATTCCAAAAGGCCCATGTTGACATCCTTGATATCAGTCTGCCAGTCTTGAGCTTTTCAAGTTGCTGACCAACCATTAGGCACTGTTCACAAATCATTAAAGATCTATAAATGAAACCATATCTCCTCCCTTATAAACCAAAGCTCAGCCTGTTGGGAGTATTTTCTTTTACTAAAGATGTTTTTCATTAAAAAAATTTTTGTTGTGGTAAAATATACATAAATTTACCATTTTAACTGTTTAAACAACTAACCACCACTGTGCCAAATTCAGCAGCATGAAGTAGATTCACACTGTTGTACCACCACCACTACCGCCCATCTCCAGAATCTTTGCATCACCCCAAAATGAAACTCTGTATTCATCTTAAGCAGGGAGTGTAGCTCAGTGGTAGAGGACATGCTTAGCACATTTCAGGGCCTTGGGTTCCATTCCAGACACCAAAAAAAAAAAGGAAAAAAAAAAACCCTAATAACTATTTTTCCACCCCCTACCCCCAAAGACCACATATCTACTTTCTGCCTCTACGAATATTCCAAGTGCCATATGTAGGTGGAATCATACAACGTCTATTCTTTTGTGCCACTACTGTTTTTTTTGTGTGTGTGTGTTGCCATACCAGACTGGAGATGACTAGTGCCAGGCCATGGATAGCCCAGTGTAA